ATTGCATAAAAAAGTTATAGTTATAAATATATACATATGTTAGAACTATTTAAACAATTAGCTATTTGTATGTAAACTAATATTCACTCAAACAAGTAGCTTTAATGCTTATCCTGGTTAATTTTAGTAATGGACTGGTCCTGCTTTGAATTTGGAATAGTCCATTTGAAAACTAACGAATTTCAGTATTATTATACAGTAAGAGCTGTCATACAAGAGACAAGTCCCCCCGAAAAGGTTTCTTAAGCACTCAGGTATTATGAAAAGCAAAGAGAATGAAAGTAACTAATTGCTTAAGATTATTCTGGTGAAATGAAGTGCTATTTATAGCAAACCTAACACCTTGGGACAAGGGTCTTGGATACGACACATCTTGATGTGGAAGACAGTTATGCCAAGTTATTTTAAAATCCTTCAATGCATGACAATGTTACAGTTTGGAAACTAATGTGTGCCTTCAAACTCAAATTATGAGCATAAGTTCCTTCAAACTATTAGAGTGACCTTGACCAACATGGGTCTTACACACAACACGTCATCTTGATGTGGTAGACATTAGTGCCAAGTTATATTAAAACTCTTTAATGCATGACAAAGTTATAGTCCGGACACGAATGTTTGTACCTATAACCTCTAATAGTGATAGCGTGAACCTTCAAAATGTAAGTGTGACCTTGACCTTTTAAGAACGTGGTTCTTGGACATGACACAATGTTGTCATGTGATAGACATTTGTGCCAAGTTATTTCAAAATCCCTCACTGCATGACAAAGTTACAGTCTGGACATGATGGTTGGGAAAGTGGGGACTTCAAAATGGTAGTGTGACCCTGACCTTTGACGTAGGGATGTGATTCTTGAACGAGACAAATCGTCTTGATGTGGTAGATATTTATACCAAGTTATTCTAAAATCCTTCGATACAGTCCGGACACAAATGTGTGTACCTTAAACTCTTATTTTGATAAAGTGAAACTTCAAAATGTTAGTGTGGGCTTGACCTTTGAGTTAGGGATGTGATTCTTGAACGAGACACATGTATTGATGTGGTAGACATTTGTGCCAAGCTATTTTAAAATCCCTCAATGTATGAGAAAGTAACAGTCCGGACACAAATGAAGTGGGGATGCACAGACGTACGGACGAACAGACAGTACTATTTTTAATATGCCGCCCTGCGAGGGCATAAAAATAAAACTACCAATAGTATAAGCCTGGTAAAAATGGACAGATGTGCAGTTTGGCCTGACTCTATTCTATACAGATGGAAAATGCTAGTTACTGTTTGTTCCAGCAGATTAAGGGTTAAAACTACTAGCATAGCATAATATTAATCAAATATACAATGTCATTCAAAAACAAAACAAATATATACATATATATGAAATATTTCAACATTAAAATATACCTTGTTAAAATATATGTACAGACTCTATTGATTGGTCCCTATTTCACAACACTCATGAACTGGTCAAATTTTCTTTCCTAAAAATTAAGTGACTTTACAAAATGTTCATATGTTGTTTATTTGGTATACATGTACAATGACTTCACTAACAATTTCAAGGCTTTCAGTTGCCCCTCCAGCTTTATATGTGGAGCTGTGGAGAAAAAACTCCACTTGCCCCTCTCCTCCAGCTATATAAGTAGGATGTGAGAAGAAACTTTACTTGCCCTTCTATTCACAGGTATTATTTCATGCATGATCTTAGCCTGGTGGCAATAAAATTTGCCTATGTAACCATGCAGTAGAGACCAAGATTAAGGGGCACATCTGTGCTGTCATATCATGATCTGCACTGTATGTTTTTAAATTTTCCTTTAAAAAGATGAATGTTTTTTGCTCAGACTGAAAGATGAACATGTACAATTTAAGATTTTAAGCGTGATAAGGGTTTAAAGGCCCATTATGCCTCAGAAATGGTAACATTTTTATTTCTCAAAAACTTTAAATTTTGGTATCTTGTTACAGTTTCCAAAGAAAAAAATAAATATGCTCATTTGCCACATAGATGAACCATCTCTTACTTCTTTTGCTCTGTTTAAAATAGGTATAATCATAGTGAATGAGTATTTTGTATGGAAGTCAAAATACTACTTTGTTTACATGTTGTCACCATTATGACAAATTACTGCACATTCAGCGCAACTTTCAACAGTTGTTAAACATCTAATACGCCCTTAATCTGGTATTCAAACATTATCAAACACATGTTTGACATTACTAAAGATTTAAAAAAAATATGAATTTCTGAGCCATAATGTGCCTTTAAGTATATAGAATATTCTCAAAAATCCCAAATTTTGCAATGTTTTTACAGTTTTTATGCAGATAAAGAGCTTTTAATGGAATCAGGAAATACTGACTGAAAGAAATGACAAAACCAACATAATGGGTTTGCGACCAGCATGCATCCAGACCAGCCTGTGCATTCGCGCAGTCTGATTAGGATCCATGCTGTCCGCCATCAGTTTCTCTACTTGTTATAGGGTTTGTAAGCGAACAGCACGGATCCTGATCAGCCTGCGCAGATGCACAGGCTGATCTGGATCAAGGTTGGTTGCAAAAGCACTATGTTGGTTTTGTTGTGACGCGGCTCAAATGTTTAAAATCAAGGAGCTAATTGTGCTTTAATCACCCATAAACAATCTCATGCTCACGGGTATACTAATTTTAACAATAAAGATAAAATTAAGACATTTATATTCTTGAGGTTTTACATCTTATTTATACATACATGCACATATTTAATCTGAAATTTTCATTACTGGGAAAGGCACGTCAATAGTTGAATAAGTGAATCAAATGAAGTATACTTTTCATGATAATGATGAAATGTGCATCATTTCTGCAACACATGATGTATAATTTGTCTAAAATTTCATAATTACATGTCTGTCAAAGTCTATAATCAAGGAATATCTATAGTTCAAGGAAAAGTATGTCTGTTGTTTATATATTTGTTATGAATTTGTGAAATGACGTAGCCTAGCCCACAAGGTTTTATAATTCCTACTTGAAGACCTTTCAAGAAGTAGCTCAATATTTTACAAAGACAAAGAAGTAAAATTTAAACAAGAGGAGAGAATTTTCTTCAACTTTGCATGATTTATAGAGAAACACAGCTAAAACAATTGAATGCATAGAAAAAGACTAAACAATGCTGTTTTAAAAGAATAAATACTAAGTATTAAGGTTAATCTATATATGAACTGTGCCACGAGAAAACCAACATAATGGGTTTGCGACCAGCATGGATCCAGACCAGCCTGTGCATCCACACAGTCTGATTAGGATCAATGCTGTTCGCATACAAACCCTATCTCAAGTAGAGAAACTGATAGCGAACAGCATGGATCCTGATCAGACAGCGCAAATGCTGGTTTTGTCATGACGCGACTCATATATAAAACAGTTAGTTAAATGAAATTTTAACAGTGACTACTGAAGCAATAAGAACAGGTTGTGACTGAGGCATCAAGAAAAACAATGACCTTATAAGACTTAAAACATAGACAAATATGTGGAAATAAACCTTAAAACATAGAGACAATTATGTGGAAACAAACCATAAAACATAGAGACAAATATGTGGAAATAAACCTTAAAACTTGAAGACTTGTGGAAAGCCGATAAGCCTTAAACCCTCCACCATTTGCAGCAGGTGAATCATAAAAAATTCATTTTTTATATATATTCAACATGGCAATTTTAAAGTCCATCTAGTCAATAGCCAGTGGAAAATGTTTGCTGACCGAGAAATAATACAGCAATTCATAAGTAGATACAGTGATAGGGGCAATATGTTTACTTAATTTAATGCATGCAAGGATTTTGACTATATTTTATATGGTATGATGGATGCTCTGACACTGTTGTGGTCATATAAGCCACACACATTAGCTTTACTAGTGGAAGAAATCCATTCTGTGACTCTCTACATATTTCCAAATCTAAGTAGAAACACAGACTTACTGCTGTGGTCTTATAAGCCATATATCAGCTTTACTAGTGGAAGAAACCCTTCTGAGCCTCTTTATGCATTTCTGAACCGGAATAGAAACAAAGGCCTTCTGTAAGCTAATTTGATATCTTCCTGACATCAAAGAACACAAATGTCATGGAATGGATTTGAACACAAGAGTGCTAAAATACTACATATTGAACACATATTATGTTGTAAAAATGTAGTTTGGTAAGTAGAATAATAAAAACTTATTTATTTGCCTAAATTATTTAAAGTAAAAAAATAAAAAAGATTATTTATTTGCCAAAATTTTGAAAGTGAAATAATAAAATATTACTTATTTGCCTAAATTTTTAAAGTAAAATAATAAAAAATTATTTATTTGCCTAAATTTTTAAAGTGAAATAATAAATGATTATTTTTTTGCCTAAATTATAAAAGTAACAATAAAATATTATTTATATACCTAAATATTTTTTTAAATATTTATTTTTTCCCTTACTCTAAAAGATGAGGGGACTGTTATTTACCAACAATATCTTAATATTAAAAACAATAGATCTGATGGTTTGGTCCAAATTGCAACTGTTTTGATTAAACTATATTTAAAAAAAATATTACACATTTTACAATACATGTATTTGCATAAATATACATAAAAAAAAAAAAAAAAAAATATCAATCCACGCTACAAATGCTAGAATTACGCCACATAGATATTCGTTTTTTCCTATTATCATTTTTTATAATCAAACCCTATAGGAAATATTATTATTAATCCGATATCTATTGTGTCGTTTTTATATTTTGATGCTTTGTTTGGTGCACTTATCTCTTTTATCATGAATTGGAATTGTTCGTATTTGTTCGTTTTTTCCGCTAAAGTGGGCGTGACGTTAATTGTAAAATTACGACGTCACGTCCGTTGATATTATTATTATTTATTTACCTTGAAAAAGGCATACATTTGCCGAAACGTTGGAAAAATAAAAAATGATATTATACGTGTTATTGCTGTGACTTTATTATTTTCATAAATATACATGACACTAAACTTAACATCTTCAACTAAGTGTTACAAAACATACAACCTGGAACACTTTGTTGGCCATTGAAAAAATCACAAATATGTAACAAGAAAGTCTTAAAAAAGAATTAACAGAACAATTTTTCACTTGTAGAATATATAAGTAACAAGACCAGTATAAAACTCAAGAACGTATTCCTTGAGTGTTAACAAAAAGAATTCAAATCAACAAAACTCTTCTGATTGGTCTGTCAAAGTGAGGCTGTCAAACTCAGAATCAACCTCATCCAGTAACCATGGAGATTCCTCAATGATAAGGGAGATCAGTCTGTCCAGATACCATTTCTGTTTACTGGCTTCAGAAACAATCTCTTTGAGGGAATCAACCACTTGTTCCTGTCAAAACCAAGAAAAATGATCAGATGTATATTTTAATACATATAAAATTATATAAAATAATAAATTACATAAAAAATATATATAATTCTTACTATATAACATGCAGGTACTGAACTTAGTAATATCCAAAGTAAATACCTCTAAAGCATTAACACTCACTTATAAATCTTAATTTGCATTTTGCCCATCTTCTAATCTGGACAAACCATTTACCATTTTTGGGATAAATTTCAAAATAGTTACTGACTGATCAGCAAACAGAGCAGACCATGACTAGATGTAGGATGTGCCAGCTGATCTTGGTCTGCACTTGTCACATGGGTAGAATGAGTTGCCATGGCAGACAAAGGGTTAACCTATCATATGCTCGCAAAGCGTTGTTAAAGCTGTAAACAGTTACATTCAAGCTAGATGTTCCGGTTTGTACCGGTAGCAGGTGTAAGATCCTTATATTAAGATGAGATAGTGTAGAATATGAACACCAGTGATACAGATTCTGTTAGCATAAATCAATAACTTATTTTTTGTTTTAAATGTTTATTGCCCTTGAATATATGATTGCACACAAACCCAAAGAAAGAAATATGCTCTTTTTTATTTCTTAAATTCTTTTTTACAGATTATTTGTATATAGTATTGTGTAATATTTGTAACCATAGTTATCAGTCTTATTCTTATCATGTGTCGTTTTTTTGTCTCTTATAGTCAAGCAATATTTGAGAAGAAACCTTACCTTGGAGGCATTGTCTAAATCAAGGGAGGTCATCGTCATGTTATAATACTCCACACCTCCCACTGTCTGGCGTGAATCTGAAAAGAATATAGATTTTTAAATAAAATTACACCTCCTTATGTGTGTCGTGAATCTAAAATTATTAACACAAATTTTGAACAAAATTTATTAGCCCCCTATCTCCTTCCTTACTAATCATGGCCTTCCCACTTGCCTTCATACCTCTGTCTCTGCCCTTCCCCTCCTCCCCCATCCACCCACCTACCACCTCACACCCTAACTTCCCCTCCTTTCTCGAACATTGCCCCTCTTCACAAAAAATCCTTTCCTCTTTAAAATCTGCAAGAACCTGCATTTATCATTCTTCGTATGTATTTTTTCAATATTACATATATTAGATATGTTTCATTTTAAATATTCCTGAACAATAGCAATTATAAGAACAAGAGCTGGTGGTAGGACAGCATGCCTGACTATTCTCAGCTAAATAGTAAAGCAAGATAAAAGATATTGTAGAATTTTGAAGTTCAAAAGGGCCATAATTCTCTCAAAAACATATAATTCTTATGGGCCTTGGATAACTACCACCTATTATACTCTCAAATTGGTGTGTAAAGTTTCATCCCATTCCATTCAGTTGTTTTGGATATACCAACTTGCATGAAAAAACCTTAACCAAAGCATGACACCAACACTTGGGTGAGAACAATAACTCTTCCTATTCTTCCATTAGTCGAGTTAAAAATGAATCTCTTTACATTGAAATGTGAACATAAATTGCCATACATAAAATGCCAATATGATAACATTTGAAAATTATAGTGAACATAAGACTTCAACGAATAAAGTAAACTTGTACTTTTTTCTTATGACTTAAGCCTCTGGCAATTATTTTTTCAGGCAATAAAGCCTTCACTTAATGGTCTAGGTCACCTTGTTTTTTGGTTTCTTTATGTTTGAAAGTCTGTAGCAGCAAAATCAAATCCCAAACAGAGCAGATATTTTTTTCAGATAAATAAGCATACAATTTTTATGATCATAAGCATGTACATTTACATAGCCTTGTAAAACAAAATAAATATATTTTCACTTACTATTTGGTTTAATAGGACTGCGAGACTGTCGTAATTTTTCTATCGCCTTGTCCCTCGACAATTCTAGATCATGCATTACAGCGTCCTGAAAGAAATTACAGCATTTATTATACTAATAATTACTTAATAACACTGCTCAGTACCTTTTCCCAGCCATTATAAGAAAAAGTACCTAGACCAGTTAGGAAATTTTGCGTCATTTAAATTGTTTAATTGGGAAAATATTTGGTACCATTTTAAACCTCATTGCAGGTTCCTCCTTATGAAAGTACTGCTATTGAAACTTAATTACTTCTTAAATCAAAGTACTGTTACTTCATTACTGAACCAAAATCTAGTACTGATACCGATACTGCATAAGTACTGGTACTGAAGTACTATACCAAAATCAAGTACTGATACTGCATAAATACTGGTACTGGTATTGAAGTTATATACTCCTAGTACAGTTGCACATGTCTGAAGTGCACAGATAACTTAACCATATGCCAGATGTCTATGGGTCCAATACCGGTATGTACCGGTATTATTGGGAAATCCAACCATGATAGATTATGATGTCCGACAAACTAATGTATGAGGTGTAATATTCGATAAAAAATTTTTGTAATGCAGTCTGACAATAACAAAAGGGGAGAAGCTAAGTGTAATCTGGCATTTAGTCAATAACAGATTGGCCTTGCTGCATTCACAGGTGGGATAATTTAGCCATTTTTCATATAAGGAAATAAAATACAAAGCCATCCAAAATTACTTTTATAAAACTCGGAATATTATATAATATGAAACTTAATAATATGTTTCCTGTGAGAGTAAGTCATAACATTTTGACGCTAATGCTCTTCCATAGAAACGAATCAAAGTATCAATTTGGAATGTTTCGGAATTTAGGACCAACAATTTTTTTTGGGGGGTGAGAGTCTTGTGCCTTTTATCACTCTGCCAAGGAGGGACAATTTAGCCATGGCTTTATCTTACTTACATAACACATGCTGACTTCAATGCAAACTGTACATTTCAATTATATGAAAAACAAAAACAACTGCATAATTTCACAGGCCCTGAGCATGTTTTTGAAGTTATTATTTCATTATAAATATAATTTACTGAGAATAAATTTTATATCATGCATGCACGCACGCATGTATGCAGACAATGCATTATTTTTATCTTCACTGAGGGAGAGTATTTACTGCACCTTCATGATAAATAACGGTATGGTAGATCAAAATATATCCTAGGATGGTGAAATCTGTATGATATAGGATAGTTTAATGAATGTCATTATACAAATGCAATGATTTTTCACATGTTGAAAGCATGATTTTATATAGATAATCAAATTATGTGCTCCGGATTTCTTTGTAAACAGGTTTCAAATTTAATACTAAAATAAGTATTTCCAAAGTAAAGTATTATCTTAAAATAAGTAATAAATAATATGCTCGAGGTTATATTCAATCCAAAATTAAAGAAAAACCAACATCTGTCTAGAAGACAGTGGGAACTTTTGACCATCCTTAGAGCCTTATATATCAACTTAGTACAAGTGAAATAAGCATGTCTAGTGTGTCTATCAAGGGGCATAATTGTGTCAAAATCCTTGACAGAATTATCTTTAGTCTTCTTGCCTAAAAACCTATGACTAGCTATCATTTCTTGTCCATAGCCCATCATGTAAGAGTTATACTTAAGACAGAACATGTCTTGTTTGACTGAACATGTGTTGTCCGGAAACTAGAACAATACTTTTATAAGCATTTACCTTGTCCTCTAATTCAACTTGCAATGTTTCACTAAGATGCTTCTGTTCCGCAACTTTGTCCCCTAATTTCTTTATCTGGTCCTAAAAACATGAAAAGAACTTTTATTACATGCTTTTTGGTGGTTAATAGAAATATATCAGTGAAATATAAAATAGTGATAAAATACAAGTATAAAATATAAATTTGATATTTTCACTGTTTTGAATTTAAGCCTGTAAAGTCTTTTCAGTGAAATACCAGTGTGCACAGTACTAGAAACCAACTTAATGATGTGACATTGTAATTTGGCACACTTTTCATTTAGTATTAGGTTAAAATGCATTTTCTAAACGTTCCTTTGCATATTATGTAAAGAAAAAATGTTTGTTAAGTGTAAGATTGAAATGTATTTCAACCTGTGAACACCAAAGCTTCATAATTTCTAAACAAATATCCTCTATTTCTTTAAATAAATCATACCATTACTAAAGTTTAGTCTAAACAGCAGGGCTTATAAGCATATTAACCTTACACTATTTAATCAGATTGAAAAAAGAAAAGGGTCTATAATTCTTGACAAAAAGTACAGTTCTAGTAATGTCCTTTATACAACTATTGCAAATACAGAAATATTTCTTCAGCATCAACTTATATTCTAGCTAAGCATTATTTTCCCTAACTGCTACCCTTATCCTTTGCATAATTTCCCTCTAATAAAAAATATACAATGTATACAGTATTTTCATTCTTGTTATATTATATTCTTTATCTTCTCAAATTTCAGTAACTTCTTTTGTTCTTGCCATCTAAAGATTAAAAATACAGTAATCTATCTTTCTTTTTATCACAAATGAAGGTATTCATGAAAAAAAATATAGCTATAATTTGTTCCCTTTTGATATATAAGCTATTATGATGCTATTTCCACATTAAATATTAAACCTGACACCATTCCCCTAATGCTGAAGAATAGTCACTTAAAGTTAACTTTTCTAGGTAATACCAACCTGTAGAATTGTTGTATGTTTCAAATATTGTTCTTGATCAAGGGGTGTAACTTCAGCCTCCGAGAGAGATTCGGAGTCCCTCATTTCTACGAGCATTGAATGAAGTTTCTGCCATTTCTCATCAGGACTGTCATGACTCATTCCAGGGATGTGCCTGTAAAAGAATATACTTTCATATTTATTTATAAGATCAAACATACAAACTCAGAAGAAGAAAAGTATTAAGTGGCCTATTACATGTGTCTTTGCAAAATAAATGTAAAACATATCCTGCCATAAAGTTTGGAATAATCCTTTGCTATTTTTGAATGCTACTGAGGTGCCCTTTGGTGCATTATTTTAGGCAAAAACAGGCACCTAAATAGAACAGCCAATGTTCCGTAAGACTGAAAAACACATGGACCAGAGTCACCACAGACTAAACTAATTTACTAATATAACTGGCGAGTGTTTCACTAACATTCCGTAAGTTTTGTGTAACTTTTACGTAAATTTAGACTTATGCAAAACTTAATTTTACGTTACTTGCGTTTCAATAAAAATAAAATGAAATTTATGACAATAATAAGTGAGCGTTACTTTACATTTAAACTTACGCAAATGCGAAGCTAAGAAAGTTTAGTGAAATGCAAATAAATACATAAGTACTGCTAACGCTAACTGCTAACAAACCCCTGAGCTTGAAATGCTGAAATACTCCTGTTCTTGAAGCAGCAAAATTATAAATGAAGTTGTCTAACAATTTATTGTGCTTGTTCAAAATATCAAATAAAAGTTAGAATATCACAAACATCAATTCTTTTTTTTTTTGCAAAATCAAAATATCTTTGGCAAAAAATTGCTTTAATTTTATTCCCTATACATTACAGGGACTCCACTGAAGTTTTTTTGACATATCTGGGCTGGAAATAATTTCTAGAGATCCATGTTCAATTTGAACATCTGAACCAATAACTTATATGCAAAATATCAGATCATTTGCTGACTCTGTTTTTTGGGGGGAAAGGGAATAATCAATTATTCTAATATCCAAAGTCCACTCAAATCGGGCTAAGAATAGCACAAAAATACAATTTTCAATTTATGTCTGAGTATGTTTCTTAATTATCTTTTGTATATCTTTCTCGTCCAGTTGATCTATGTAAGAAATTCAAATTTTATGTTTTTAGACTTTAGGACCTCATTGGAGTTCCTTTAAGTGCAGTAATGAAATTTTAGTTGCATATTTAATACACATACTCATACATACTCTGTAAGTGTTACTATCGTGGCTGGTGTTCTGTAGCTTAACATCGCTTGCAAATGACTTTTAGCATCCTTCTTTAAGTAAGGTCTTATCATATGACCATTAATCTCAATAACCCTGAAATCAAATACAAATAATGTTCAGAAGAAAGTTAAGCTGCTTTTTAACCCCTAGGGCCTAGGTTAGTGGGGGTCCGGTGGGGGATATGTTTTTGTCCTAGTTTCATTGAACAGTTTTTCATATTATATTAATCAAAAATGTTAATTACTGGTATTAACATGCAAATCAACATTAGCATTAGATATAACTTGAAATATGACTTTGACCTACCATAATCAAGGCACCATAACTTTCTTTTTTAGATAGTAATAATTATGACAAAATATCTGTGGTATGACAACACATTTTGTTTGTTTGGATCCTATTTTAAATATCAATAAGTTATAATGTATATTTTGTCCACTTAAAGTTCTTTTCTGTAATTATAACTCCTTTTCTCACTTTAGAGTAACAAGCCTGTCATCATACCTATCTCCTTTTTTCATTTTCTCTGCTAGACTAGGTGGCACTTCCTGTATGGTCACATGACCTTCGCCGTCTGCTGTCATGGTAACTTCATCTCTTTGCTGTGTAGAGAGTTCCACGCACTGAACACATTGTGGTCCATATTTCTTTATATAGTCATATATCGGTTTAACCGGACTGGATAAAATCTGTTTGAAAAACAAACAAGATATGTTTGTAAAACATGTATGCCCCCTATCAGCAGCCAATTAGTCATGTGATAAGGTTATTATGCATGACTTCTGACCCAGTGATCAAACAATTAATAAGGGTTATAAAGTATCTACTGGTCATGACCTTGACCTTTGACCCCTTGACCCAAAAACTCAATAGGGGTCATCTGCTGGTCACGACCAATCATCATACAAAGTTTGAAGTTCCTAGGCCTAGGCGTTTATAGTAAATTGATCAGAAACCGTTTTTACCTACAAGGTCAATGTGACCTTGACCTTTGACCCCTTGACCCCAAAATCAATAGGGGTCATCTGCTGGTCATGACCAATCACCATGCCAAGTTTGAAGTTCTTAGGCATAAGGGTTCTTAAGTTATTGATCGGAAACCGTTTTTAACATACAAGGTCAATGTGACCTTGACCTTTGACCCAAAAAATCAATAGGGGTCATCTGCTGGTCATGACCAATCACCATGCCAAGTTTGAAGTTTTTATAGGCCGAAGCGTTCTTTTAGTTATTGATCAGAAACCGTTTTTACTAACAAGGTCATTGTGACCTTGACCTTTGACCCCTTGATCCCAAAATCAATAGGAGTAATCTGCTGGTCATGACAAATCACCATACCAAGTTTGAAGTTCCTAGGCCTAAGCGTTCTTGAGTTATTGATCAGAAACCGTTTTTACTTAAAAGGTCAATGTGACCTTGACCTTTGACCCCTTCACCTAAAACTCAATAGGGTCATCTGCTGGTCATGACCAATCATCAATACAAAGTTTGAAGTTCCTAGGCCTAAGCTTTTTTTAGTTTAATTGATCGTAAACCGTTTTTACCTACAAGGTCAATGTGACCTTGACCTTTGACCCCTTGATTCCAAAATCAATAGGTCATCTGCTGGTCATGACCAATCACCATACCAAGTTTGAAGTTCCTAGGCATAAGGGTTCTTAAGTTATTGATCGGGAAAGCATTTTTACCTACAAGGTCAATGTGACCTTGCCCTTTAACCCCTTAACCCAAAATCAATAGGGTCATCTGCTATCATGACCAATCACCATACCAAGTTTGAAGTTCCTAGGCCTAAGGGTTCTTTAGTTATTGATCGGAAACCTTTTTACCTAAGAGGTCAATGTGACCTTGACCTTTGACCCCTAGACCCCAAATCAATAGGGGTCATCTACTGATCATGACCAATCACCATCTCAAGTTCGAAGTCCCTAGGCCTAAGGGTTCTTTCATTATTGATCGGAACCGTTTTTTTACCTACAAGGTCAATGTGACCTTGACCTTTGACCCCTTGACCCCAAAATGCAATAGGGGTCATCTGCTGGTCATGACCAATCACCATGCCAAGTTTGAAGTTCTTAGGCATAAGGGTTCTTAAGTTATTGATCGGAAACCGTTTTTTAAAACATACAAGGTCAATGTGACCTTGACCTTTGACCCAAAAATCAATAGGGGTCATCTGCTGGTCATGACCAATCACCATGCCAAGTTTGAATTTCTCTAGGCCGAAGCGTTTCTTTTAGTTATTGATCAGAAACCTTTTTACTAACAAGGTCATTGTGACCTTGACCTTTGACCCCTTGATCCCAAATCAATAGGAGTATCTGCTGGTCATGACAAATCACCATACCAAGTTTGAAGTTCCTAGGCCTAAGCGTTCTTGAGTTATTGATCAGAAACCGTTTTTACTTAAAAGGTCAATGTGACCTTGACCTTTGACCCCTTTCACCTAAAACTCAATAGGGGTCATCTGCTGTCATGACCAATCATCATACAAAGTTTGAAGTTCCTAGGCCTAAGCGTTTTTAGTTAATTGATCGTAAACCGTTTTTACCTACAAGGTCAATGTGACCTTGACCTTTGACCCCTTGATTCCAAAATCAATAGGTCATCTGCTGGTCATGACCAATCACCATACCAAGTTTGAAGTTCCTAGGCATAAGGGTTCTTAAGTTATTGATCGGGAAAGCATTTTTTACCTACAAGGTCAATGTGACCTTGCCCTTAACCCCTTAACCCCAAAATCAATAGGGGTCATCTGCTAGGTCATGACCAATCACCATACCAAGTTTGAAGCTCCTAGGCCTAAGGGTTCTTTAGTTATTGATCGGAAACCTTTTTACCTAAGAGGTCAATGTGACCTTGACCTTTGACCCCTAGACCCCAAAATCAATAGTGGTCATCTACTGATCATGACCAATCACCATCTCAAGATCGAAGTCCCTAGGCCTAAGGGTTCTTTCATTATTGATCGGAAACCGTTTTTACCTACAAGGTCAATGTGACCTTGACCTTTGACCCCTTAACCTGCCAAAATCAATAGGGGTCATCTGATTGGTCATAACCAATCACCATACCAAGTTTGAAGTTCCTAGGCTAAGGGGTTCTTTTGTTATTGATTCAGAAACCGTTTTTAATTTAAAAAGGTCAATGTGACCTTGACCTTTGACCCCTTAACCCAAAATCATACGGGTCATCTACTGATCATGACCAATCACCATACCAAGTTTGAAGTTCCTAGGCCTTAAGTTTCTTTAGTTATGATCGGAAACCGTTTTTACCTACAAGGTCAATGTGACCTTGACCTTTGACTCCCTTGACCCAAAATCAAATAGGGTCATCTACTGATTATGACCAATCACCATACCAAGTTTGATGTCCTAAGCCTTAAGGTTCTTTAGGTATTGATCGGAAACCGTTTTTACCTACAAGGTCAATGTGACCTTGACCTTTGACCCCTTGACCCCAAAATCAATAGGGGTCATCTACTGATCATGACCAATTCACCATACCAAGTTTGAAGTTCCTAGGCCTTAAGGTTCTTTAGTTATTGATCGGAAACCTTTTTGCTTTCAAGGTCAATGTGACCTTGACCTTTGACCCCTTGACTCCAAAATCAATAGGGTCATCTACTGGTCATGACCAATCACCATACCAAGTTTGAAGTTCCTAGGCTTAAGGTTCTTTAGTTATTGATCGGAACCCGTTTTTTGCTTTCAAGGTCAATGTGACCTTGACCTTTGACCCCTTTGACCCAAAATCAATAGGGGCTCATCTACTGGTCATGACCAATCACCATACCAAGTTTGAAGTTCCTAGGCCTAAGGTTCTTTAGTTATCACTCGGAAACCATTTGGTCTACGGACCGACGGACCGACAAGTTGCAAAGCAATATACCCCCTTTTTTTCAAAATGGGGGCATAATTACATTTAACCTTTTAATTTGTTTTAATAAAGAAATGCTATCTGTATATTCATGGTACATCCTAGTATTTTTATCTTTAAAGTTCAATCAGTTAATGTTCATGTAGTGTAGTTTATATTAAGAAAATAAGCACCAGGGTTTAGATTCCTGTCATTAGTTTAGCATACAAGTAGCATCGCAAGTTAGTTACACATACCGGTATAATATTTGGACAGATATTTTCACATGTCCAGCTTTATTCAAATGGATTATAATTAGTAGAAAACTGAGTCCACAATTATGTCTAGAATACCATTTTTATCTATTTCCACATTTTTTTTTTAGTTTTTTATTCTTATTTTTAAAAGTTTTAGAACAGAATTTTAAATTTCAGAAAATTCTTTTTTTTTGAAAATTTTTTGGAAATTTTGAAAGTTTGAAAACTCTAAAATTTTCCCACAATTAAAAACAAATGAAGTTTTTTTTCTAAGGAAAAAATAGCTTGCAAAGAGGGGGATTAAACCCGCTGCCAGCAATCTAGACTACTAACATGGTGGCAAAACCCTTTGGCTGCAGCCGCTGTTTGGGGCATGATCCCCAAATCCCTTTATGACCAAAAAAAACTTTTTATCATGTGCTGAAATTTTTTTCGTAAGACCTTTCTGTGCTCAAAGTGGAACATTTTCTGCAATTTATAAATGTATTACTAAAATTGCAACCAATATTTATAAGAATGTTCATTCTTTCTCTTAAAAAAATAATTAAATATAGCAATCCCTTATAACCCAGAATTCAAATATAATCAGAAAGAAGCTAGCATTAGCAAACCTTTGGAAGAGTTTTTCTTTTCTTGGTATCTGACAACTTCATATCAAATTTCGTATTCCTACTTCGTTCTATACCAGATTCTGATTTATGTCTCGGTTTGAAAACGGGCGATGGTTGTGATGACGATGATGATGACCGTCCTGAGGAATGATGGGAAGGCAGTACAAACACCGATGATGACCGTGGAAGACTGGCACTTTTGGTCTGAGCAAGTTCTATTGCTGCGTAATATTTTTTCTTATCGACTGGGGATTTGATTTTGGTGAGGTCTTCTTCGCTGGCATGAACTTGTTCCGGATGTAACAAGTTATAAATCTCGGATAGAAGCAATTCTCTCTCCTCAACAGAAACATGTTCATAATCATCTGTAAACAAAATAACTTAAACATAACTTTTGTATGTGTTAGATGCCGTATCAGCATTAATGGATTTTAAATCAAATGACCAATAATGGATTTTAAATCTTATCACTAATAATGGATTTTAAATCATATCAGCAATATGGATTAATGTATAATATATCATCAACAAGAATGGGTTTACAATTTTTTTTCAGGACTAATATATATAACAGAATTTTGTAAGACCAAAACTTATCGAGATTTTCCTGCTTTCCCAAATATAATATAGAATAGTAATGAGGAATTCTATACAGTAAAAACTTTCAAGTTGGATTATGTCTGCAAAAACACTATTTCACTACATGTATTTAGTTGAAGATTAATGGCTCTACCAAGGTATGACCTTCTGTCTAAAATTATGCAAGGAAGTGTTTCTCTAAAAGTCTTCCTGGCAATTTGCCAAATAATCTTCACAGTGTTGATATGACTATAATTGCTTACCTAAGAATGGTAGTTTTAGATTGATGAGATCACTTCCTGTCACATGATGCTCTGTAATGAAAATTATTCATGATTAATTCTTTATCACATAAAAGGTAACTAGTCCATCTTACAGAACCATGATTTATTTGCCAGCAAGATGGCTATACCCCTCCCACTTACAAACTTTATTTTAGTTCCAACATATAGCAAGCTGTAAGCTTATAGACACATTCTTAAATCTGTTCCTGGAACCAACTACAGTACTGAGCAATGAGTAAAAAGTTTTTTGCTCATGGAAATAACCACTCTTCCACTGCAAGACTTGAACCCATGCAGCTAGCTAGCTATAAGATAAATAGTCCGACGCCATGCAGACGGGACAGGGTTGTATACCAAATGGTAAAATTATCATATCACAAATGCATATGAATTCACTCCCTGCATATACATTAATGGTTAGCTCAGTAGGTACATGTACAGCTTTGGACTGTAAATCGGGAGATCCAAGTCCGATGAGAGTGAAGGTCACTTTGATTGAGATTGATCGTGAAATTCTTTCTAAGCTTGGCCAGGAATGATGCAGTGATTAAACTAGCATGCTAAAAAATCTAAATCCATGTCAAGGAATGCTTCGTATGACAGAAATATATTCACAACTAGAGAAAAACTTACTTTGGAAGAGTATGATGAATTTATGAAGATGTTTATTTTCACACCAGCCGACTACATCTGACACTCCCCAATCCTCTACCTGTGTAAAACATAACAAATATCTTCATTAAATCATGCCAATACAGTTTTCTTTGATCATATTTTTTCTTTTCTTTCATGTGCCGGTGTGTGTCACGGTTGTTGTGTGTTAGTACGATTGGGGGTGGGGGGGGGGGGGGGGAGTGGGTGGGGATAGTGTCAAGAGAAAAAAAAATGTATATCTTCAATAAGTTGTGCCAATCAATACATCTAACTATGATCTTATTTTTTCTACTTTTGAGCCTGTGTGTGGCACAGTGGGTGTGTATAATTAAATGATTTATGATATCACAAGTAATGTATATACTTATGATTTTATAAATATGGGGCATGTATTTGATATATTTATGATATTATAATAACATTTTTAAGTAATAATAAGTATACTAAATAATGTAGGGAACAACTACATATAAATGGTATCATAAGAAAAGTATTCATCTATGATATCATAAATGGAGCATACATATTTATGATATCATAATTCAAATTGCATACACATTTATGATACCATTATTCAAATTGCAATCTGAATATATTAATGTATTACGTTGCTTTCAAGACCTATCCTACATATCCAAACTCCAGACAGAGAAAAAAAAACCACATATAAATAATCTTATCTCGTCAGTATCATTATTTCTAAATACATACATACGTAATAACATAAATGTAAGCCTGAAAATTACCTTTAATTGCAATCCTGTGCAGACGGCTGAAATTACAAAAATAGAAAGTTTCATAATGGAAAGTCAGTAATTAAGTCTTAAAATTATTGCATGATAATATTAACAGAAATGTGCGCAATTATCCCTTAAAAGGCAAATGTTAGAATGAGGAAATACTGGTAATATTTAAGCAGCACGCCTCCAGATTCATGCTAATTTTCATGAAAATTTGAAAATGTATTAAACAGTATAATATTGTAAAGTTACCAAAAGAACGCAATTTACACATTATCAATGGCACTTGCAACCCATGTAAATTACCATAAAGATGTCAAAACATGCAAAAATAGCCCTTACTGCGTAAGTAACGCAGTAGAAATAAAGTTATAAATTCTGAATAATCAGTGCCATTTGCAGTGTCTACATTACTTTCTTTGTTCACTTCACAATATTTTACTTTTTAAATACATCTTTAAAATTTTCATGAAAATTCACATGAATTAGAACTCATTGCAGCTTTAATCAATTATTAAAATATCATAAAACAAATATCTGCCTTTTCTGAGAGGAAAACTTGTAGTTATTTCAGGGGCTTAAGAAAATATATATTTGTCTGTTTCGTATATATGATAAATGTCATACCAAAATACCTTAGCTGAAAGAATAATGTAATGATTCATGTTTGTAAATTTCCAGTTAAATGCACAATATACCCCACTCAGAAATAAATTAAAATTTTGCTTACTTTCAAAAAGGAATATATTGTGTATATGCATGAGTTATATAGGTATCATTGAATTATGGTTTTAGAGAATGTTAGATGTTTATCACCTGAAGAAATTAATGCTAAAGGTAAATTATTTGTCATAAAAGTAGCAAAATGTACACAAAGTAGTAATTTGACTTCCATACAAACTAGAACTATCACTAAATGTGATTTATACCCCCACAAGACTGCTTTGGAAATGAGGAAGTTTTTAGTAACAGAATACCTTACTAGAGTTTTGGTTGTGGGCAATTAAAGATAGTTGTGGTTCTTTTATGTTGCATTTCCTTTCACTGTGGTTGACCATTGATGAAGTTTCATTGAATTACTCTGTAAAAAGTCCAGAAAGAGTTACACTTCTTGAGCACTGCACTTCCTAACATTGCGCTTGACCATTGTATGAAGTTGCATTGAATTCCAAACATTAGTTTTTAAGTTATGCACCGGACAAGAAAAAGGAACAAAGGGCAATAACTCTGCAAATACTAAGACGGAGTTATGGTTATTGTACACTGCACTTCCTCTCATATACCTTGACCATTGTATGAAGTTGTATTGAATTCCAACTACTTAAGTTTTCAAGTTATGCACTGGACAAAAAAAGTAACAAAGGGCAATTTATGTTATTAGTCCAAATTGAGTGATGGTTCTTGTGCACTGCACTTCATCTCACTACGCTTGACAATTGTATGAAGTTTCATTGAATTTCAACAATTAATTTTCAAGTCAAGCACTGGACAATAAAAAGTAAGAAAGGGCAAAAACTCTTAAATGAGTCAAGAAAAAGTTATGGTTTCTGAAGACTGGGCTTCCTCTCAATATACTTGACCATTGTATGAAATTGTATTGAATTCCAACCAGAAGATTTCATGTTATGCTTTTCAACAAGGAAAAGTAACAAAGAGCAATCACTCTATCATTACACTGGATAGAGTTATGGTTCTTGTGCACTGCACTTCCTCTTATTGTGCTTGACCATTGTACATGTATAAAGTTGCGTTGAATTTAAACCATTAATTTACAAGTTATGCACTGGACAAGGAAAAGTATCAAAGGACAATAACTCTGTGGTTAGTCATAATGGAGTTATGGTTCTTGTGCACTGCATTTTCTCTAAATGTGCTTGACCTTTGTATGAAGTTGTATTGAATTCCAACTAGTTATTTTCAAGTCATGCTCTGGACAAGAAAAAAGCAATGGAAAATAAACAAAGGTCAACAACTCTATAATTACTCTGGATAGAGTTAGGTTCTTGTGCACTGCACTTCCTCTTATTGTGCTTGACCATTGTATGAAGTTGTTTTGAATTCCAACAAGTACTATTCCAGTTATGCTCCGGACAAAGAAAAGTAACAAAGGGCAATAACTCTGTAATTACTTAAGATGTAGTTATGGTTCTTGTGCACTGCACTTCCTCTCAATGTGCTTGACCATTGTATTGAGTTGTATTGAATTCCAAACAGTGGTTTTCAAGTTAAGCTCTAGATAAGAAAAAAGCAATGGAAAAGTAACAAAGGGCAATAACTCTATAATTACTCTGAATAGTTATGGTTCTTGTGCACTGCACTTCCTTTTATTGTGCTTGATCATTGTATGAAGTTGTTTTGAATTCTAACCAGTACTTTTCAAGTTATGCTCCAGACAAGAAAAAGTATCAAAGGGCAATAACTCTGTAATTTGTCAAAATGGAGTTATAGTTCTTGTACATTGCACTTCCTCTAAATCTACTTGACCATTGTATGATGTTGTATTGAATTCCAACTAGTAGTTTTAAAGTTATACTCCAGACAAGGAAAAGTAACAAAAGGCAATAACTCTGTAATTAGTCAAGATGGAGTTATGGTTCTTAAGCACTGCACTTCCTCTCAATGTGCTTAATCATTATATGAAGTTGTATTGAATTCCAACCATTAGTCTTCAAGTTATACTCCGGACAAAAAAAAGGCAATGGAAAAGTAACAAAAGGCAATAACTCTGTAATTACTTTACATAGAGTTATAGTTCTTGAGAACTGCAATTCCTCTTATTGTGCTTGACCATTGCATGAAGTTGTTTTGAATTCCAACCTATGCTCCGGACAAGGAAAAGTAAGAAAGGGCAATGACTCTGTAATCAGTCAAGATGGAGTTATGGTTCTTGTGCACTGCACTTCCTCTCAATGTGCTTGACCACTGTATGAGGTTGTTTTGAATTCTAACCATTAGTCTTCAAGTTATGCTCAGGACAACGAAAATTCAACAGACCGCTGGACCGCACTACCGAATAGGGATAGGGGGCCATCTAAATGTAAACAGAACAAAAGAGAATGATAGAGTTAATTCCGTAACAATAGAATAAGGAGCCATTGGCTAGAAAATAACATTAGAAATGGCCCCTTATTCCATTTCGGGCCAAACATCCAACCGACCGACCAACGGGTGACTCCTATATACCCCCCAAACTTTGTTTCAGGGGTATAAAAATACTATATCACTTATTATAACTGCACATATTGCCAAAAAGCAAAAATGTGCCTCAGGTAATTGTCAATGAGTAACTGTTTTGAAAATACATAAAAAATTTTAAGAAATAAGAATACAATGTAAAACCAGTTCTGGGGCACTATAGGCCTTTATGCATTTCATAAATGTATCTGAAAGGCATATAAAACTAAAACATTAAAAAAAACATACTAGTTACAAATGGAGATGTTAAATGGTGAATAATATCATAAAGGTACTAACATTTTTTTAAAAGATAAATTCATAACAAAGAAACTTAATATGGCTAGAATTACAATTGCCATTTCACCAAATTAAAAAATCCCACAAAAAAATAATTGCAGCTTATAAAAGCTATAAAAAAATAAACATAAATAAAAAAATTATAGGCCTATTTTTTTTAGAAGATTCCAAAAATTTCCAAGTAAAACAAAAAATATTTATAAATCATATTATTAAAACAAGAATTCAATAAAAATTATACAGAATTGTGCTTTACCATCTGCTGCCATCTTTTTACAAAACAGTTGGGAGTCTGGTACACTCTCTTTCTTTTTGTCTATGCAATATAAATCATCTTGATACCTGAGACACTGTTATATCTACTGTATGTAACTATAGCTTCATTAACCTTCCAAATGAACCATTATACAAGTGTTTCCTGTAATAGAATAAATAAATGTCATGTATATTATTGAAAAAATCACACGAAAAATCAGCAGGCCGCAGCCGGAGTCCAACCACGGGTCTCTGGTCTGCTGGTGAAGTATGCTAACCACTAAACCATAGCAGCCATTGCCTTTTCTTAGGGCCAAATTAAAACTCAAAACGGGGAGGTTTAAAAAGAAAAATTGGGTAAGGGGGAAAAATATTTTACTCTTAAAATGAAACAGGGCATCTGATAAGATTGGGCAAAAAAAATAAATACCAAAGAACGGGACCTTTTGGGCCCAGCTTCAGGAAACGAATGAAGCGGGAAGGAAGTGGTCCTAAAAAGTAGGAGGAAAATTTGGGAAGGGTGCTGGGGGGCATGAGGCATACATAAGTGACGGGTTGAAAGCCGGGTTTCCTAAACCTTATGGGGGTTTCCTGGCCCTGAGGGCCTTCAGGAAAAAAAGGGGAATTTTCATATATTTGAGAAAGAGAAGTCAATTTTGTCCGCCAAAAAAAACTATATCATATTCACTACGGTAAAGGCCTTTAACTTGGCACCAACAGTCCTTTTTCAAGGGCTACCTCTTTTTCATAATTGTTCAAAGGTAAATACTGAACATTTTGGTTCTCATTTTTACCGCCGTTCAGTGACCTTCTCCTTGGCTAACACTCCCTAGGAAATGCATGGCGGTATATTTACCATCCACTTCGGACTTCATAATGATCCGACCTTTTAAAGTTTAAGGCATAGGTATGGGTCTGTAATTGACAAACTGAAACGGCATTTTATGGCTTAACAACTGACAAAAGGCTGATTCAGAAATAAACAACATAGTTTTTTTCACATACATGTACATTAATTTAAAGGAGAGCACAGTGTTATAAATAGGCAAAAGGTACAGAATTTGTTTTTTTTAGCAAAAGGGATTTCAAAAAAACAAAAAAATTTAAAACAAGGACTGTCACCTTTTAAATTTTGTGAAAAAAATAATTTCGTCTTATCAGTTTTGAGGCTACAAAAAAGACACTGAAAAAAAATATTTTTTTTTTTCTACAAAAAATTAATTTCTCTAAACAAAAGCGTAAAAACAAGTTTAAAACTCATTGAGCTATTGCATGTCAAAATGTTGGGGAAATGGACTTTTTTTTTAAACCCCATATTTTAAATTTTACCGTCCAGGTAAATTATATTTACTCGACCCCCTTTATTTTTAAAAACTGGTCAAAGGATATCATAAAATAGAAATAAATTAACAAGTTACAAATGCCCAATGACCTTTAAAACCAAAAAGGGGGATGGTATTTTTTTTTTGGAAAATTTTTAATATTTTTTTTTATTTAAAACAAATTGCTTTGCTTAAGTTAAAATTTTTTTGTGTTTTTCGATTGCTTTATGTTTAAATTCTATAGCAACATGTCGCAATTTGTACTTTCATGATTTGGGGGGATGGGTGGAGTTTAAGGGCCCCCTAGCACTTGAAAATCCTCATTTACCCTTACGTTAAGGTTTTTTGCTTGCAGATGGGGGAGGGGGGGTAAACTTGGGGAAGGTCAAAAATATGCACAAAAGACACAATTGCTAGTCAAAATTACATTTGTCAAAAGCCAAGATTTTTTTTGGCGTTTTCGAGACTTTTCGCCCCAAGACGTATGGCCCCAAACGATCGCCCCAAAACCCCAGCGTTTAGGCCCGGACTTTTGGGCCCTTTTAAAAAACACCCCCAGAATAATACTGTTTTTTAAAACCCGATATTATTAATAGCATTTTCAATGAATCAATTAATATATATTATTTAATCATTTTGTATAAAAAACTGATTATAATAGTAGTAGGGGAAAAGTAATCAAACAATCAGAACAGAACATATTTTTTTTACATAAACTTTATTTGAAAAAATATAATTACACAAACGAACAATTATTTACAAACATATATAGATAATATTATTTTTGAAAGATTTATAAGAAGCAAGACACAAAACAATACATTGAACAGAAATCAAATTATCATCAACAACTATTAAACAGTGAACGAAGTTTGATGGAAACGAAAAGATACAAGTACAGAACAGTTAAACAATTTTTACTTGAACAAAACAAAATGTAACAGACACTTTTATACAACATTTTTACAATTTTACAATTAAACAAACTTTACTTGAAAACTTCGTGAAGAGACATTTTTATAAAAATAACATTTTAACAATAAAAGTGAAAAACAACACAGGACGGTTAAAATATTTACACTAGATATATACAAAACGAAAACAATAACAAATTAAGTAGAACAAAATGATAGTCTTAGTAAAAGACAATCTCCTGGGGAAAAACTATTAAAAACATAACGTACATTTAAATGGTTCAAGAGATCAAAAAATAATAAATAATTTATTTAAAAAAATTAAAGTGTCAAATTTGTTTAATTGGGAAATTAAATTTTTGTTTTAATCAATCAAGGCAATATATTATAGGGGGGCCAAAAAGTCTCGCAAAAAAGGGCCCAAAACGTCCGGGGGCGTTTTTTTGAGGGGGCCGATTTTTTTGGGGCCAAAAAGCCCTGTTTGGGGTTTGGACAAGCATTTTTTTTTTTTCATTTAAAACATTTTGCCCAAACTTTCAGGGCCAAATGGATTAGGCTAGAAAATCGGAGAATTTTAGTTTTGGAAATTTTTTGACAAATGAAAAATTAAACACATTTTTTTCCCCTTATTATCAGGGACTAACTTAACTGCAAAGGGTAAAATGGGGTTCAAGGTTTTTCAGCGTACCTTTCCCTGTTAAAAATAAAAATAAACCATGATGCATCAGTTTTAAAAAAAATTTTAAAAAAAGGGCGGTTTCTAAATTTTGGAACCCAAAAATAGCGTGAGAAACATTGCATAACAGTCTTTCTTTTTTTGCTTATACACAGAAAAATAACTCTTTAAGATATAACTCCTAGGGCTAAGAATTCTAGTTGACTTCAAACCTCTTGCCTCTCTCCTGACCTTTGTAGGTTTGAGTTCGCACCTGTGCTTTCAGATTTTTTGATTGTGAGAAAGCTATCCAGCTAGCTGTTCTACTCAGATGCCCACTTATTATTCTAATGTGCCTGAAATAATGCACAAATGGGCACAATGAGGTCTTCCTCCACCAGTAAAGCTGGGATGTTACCATAGGACCTATTATACTGTAATTGGCTGTGATGTAAAACTCCAGCAAAAAAAAAAAAAAAAGAAATATATAGCAGCGGGGGGGGGGGGGGCGGGGGGGAGGGGGGGGAGTTACTGACCAGTCTTCCGCTATTATAGTCATACTCCACAATTGTTAAAAAACAAACAGGGAAAGTCTATGCATAAAGTCTCATTCAGGCTTAATAAATGTCATTGGTTTGTGAGAGAAGTTGTTTGTGTTTTAGTATTTGCTTTTGAATATGCTTGGGACACCAGTAATTAGGATTACTTTAGGGCTTAATATGTCTTTTGTAATGCATTTTACATAGAGTTACTGTAGTTTGTTTAAGATAGAAAAACAGTTTTTCAAGTGGTAATGGAAATATTTATTTATTGTTTTTCACAAATACTAAATTTGTTAATATCATAAATATGATGTGTACCAAGTATAGCAGATTATTTTTCACAGGATTTTATAACTATGTTGGGTTTTTAATAAAAAATTTTTTATGTTGGCTAGTTCATTGGGAAAAACACAGGCGTTTGACACATTTTGTTATGCACAATAAATGGTCAAATTTAGTCATAAAAATTAATCTCCCCTTGATCAACAAGAACAAATTACTATTCAGCAGTAAAACATATAGTAAATGGGTGGCCCTTTGGAGAGTAATTTTGTTATTTTTTGCAAGGGAGATTATTTTTTGAAAATTTTAATCCCCGCACAAAAAATTTTGAAAGGGGGGGTTATACGGGGAAACCCAATTGCCCGGGTTCCGGCTGTCCCGTCGGTTTTTTCTTGTTGCCCAATTAACTTAAGATCTCCTTTGGACCTTTTTGTCTTCAATTTGGCATGGAGGTTAGTCATGATTAGTAGATGACCCCTATTTGAATTTTGAGGTCACTAGGTTCAAAAGGTCAAGGGTCACAGGGGCTTTTGACTTCAAAAAGCTTGTCCGCCCAATAACTTAAGATTCCTTTTTGACCTACAGTTCTGCATATTTTGGCATGGGGTTGTCATGATTAGTTAGATGACCCCTATTATTTTGACGGTCACTAGGTCAAAGGTCAAGGGGTCACAGGGGCCCATTACTTCAAAAAAAGCTTGTTCCGCCCAATAACTTAGAGATTCCTTTGACCTACAGTCTTCATATTTGGCCATGGGAATGGTTAGTCATGATTGTAGATGACCCCTATTGATTTTATACTAGGTCGCAAGGGGTCTTGGTCACATGGGCCTTTGACTTCAAAAAGCTTGTCCGCCCAATAACTTCTAAGATTTCCTTTTTGACCCATAGTCTTCATATTTGGCATTGAGGTTAGTCATGATTTATTAGGATAACCCCTATTGACTTTGAGGTTCACCAGGTCAAAAAGGTCAAGGTACGGGGCTTGACTTCAAAAGCTTTCCCCAAAAATAACTTAAGAATTCCTTTGACCCACAAGTCTTCTATTTGCAGGGAGGTTTAACGTCATGATTATTAGAGACCCTTAAAATTGGATTTTGGTAGAGGTGCCGGGGTCAGAAGGTCAAGGTCACAGGACTTTGACTTCCAAAAATTTTGTCCGCCCAATAACTTTAGATTCCTTTGACCCCACATCTTAGTATTTGGCCCTGGATGGTTGATCAATGATTATTAGATGACCCCTTTTGTTTTGAGATCCTGCGATCAAAGGGGTCAAGGTCATAGGGAGCTTTGACTACAAAAAAAGTTTGTCCACCCATTAACTTAAAGTTCCTTTGACCCACGTCTTCATACTTTTGGCATGGATGTTGATCATGACTAATAAGGTGGAACCCCCTATTGTTTTGAGGTCGCTTGGGTTAAAAGGTCAGGTCACAGGGACCTTTTGACAAAAAAAAACTTTTTTTTCCAATTGC